TCCTCATCCTCATCCTCATCCTCATCCTCATCCTCATCCTCATCCTCATCCTCATCCACCACTGTTACTGATAATGGGAGATACCTTAAAGGTGTTGATTTTGCTTGCGACACGACATAGAAAAAGCCACCCGTGGTCATCCTGAGTCGTCCCGAGTCCGGAGGCTCTACGAGAGCTGCAACGTCTTGGCTTTCGGAAAAAATGGCTTCCATCTCATCCGTTTCACAAGTTGTTTCCGAAGGGTTCTCAAGTCAACAAGTATGAGTCAACGGCTGCATGGGTTTATACTCAGGGGAGCGTGTTTGCCTATGAGATGAACCGCCTTATGCAAAATTGTGATTGGGCGTCTTTGTTCGCACAATATGGCTACGCTGTGAAAGCATTATTTTCGTATTGTGAGAAGATGCAAGACGCCTACGGTGAGAGGCAAAAACTATATCGTGGGTATCCGGGTTCATTGCATGAGGCACAAAACGAGTATCATGTCCCTTGGGCACAAGACACAATGTGTTTTTTGTCGTTAGAAGGGTTCGTTCAGTTGTGCTTGAAATACTCCATTATTATATATTCCACTCCTGTTTGTGCCAGTCAGTCGAAGGTTGGAAGAACGTTTGCATGGCCGTCCTTCACAAGTACCTCCAAGTGTCGTGCAACTGCTTGTGATTTCGCAAAGGGTGAGTACTCTAGCGAGGGTGGATTTCCAATCCTCTTCGAGATTTCAACTTTGAGTCGAGGTGCTCCTTTGCTCGGCTGGTCAAGATATCCCACAGAGGATGAAGTGTTGTTGTTACCTTTCCAGGGATTCCACGTGACCGACATCTTCTTTACGGACGACAGGCGCATGCTCGTGATTCAGCTAAGCACCGTGAAGTTGGGACATCCAACCTCAGGTCCAACTTCATACATCCAAAATCAGGTCCAGCTTTCAGCACGTTTGGAGGAGCCCATAGTGCAAAGGCCAAGTCCTGGCGATGACTTCTTGATTTTTTTGGCACGGTGTTCATATTGATGTTCTTGTTCATCGCAGCTGTCAATGGCAAAGTGTAAGGTTTCGGCCCATTTGTGAGGAACAGTGTGTGAAGGGCCGTTTTTGAGTCAGATGCGCAAGATCCTGGCAAATGCAAAAAGTGCTGGGTGTCAGGCAAGATCCAGGGTTGAGTGGTTGATTTATGTAATGTTTTTGAACATGGAGGACTGGATTGTGGTGCAATGCTGCATGGTAGCTTTCCGGTTCGCTAAAAAAACATCAAGCCTGGAATGAAAGGCATGGCTACTTCGTCGACTTAGCCCTTGTGTTCGCCACTTTCAGACTCTCAGACTTCATCCTATGGCAGAAAAATCAAATAGCTAGGCACCAATAGGCAGGCACCAGCTGCGCAGACAAGACAACACTGGTGGCAACTTCATACGGCCAGGTTCGCAGCCTACACGGTTTGCGAGTACTTCTTTGTCCTGTTCTTCCTGTCGGCAGCCCAGGGTGAGCAGAACCTGTTCTCCAGTGTGGAGCGAGCAGAGCGCAATGAACTGTCTCGTGGTATCTGGCCCCTGCAATGTCCTGGTCGATATTTGGCAACCAAAGATGCTAAGACGATCCTCCTAAGTGGTTAGAAGTCCGTCCAACTGATCTTCGCAAAATGACCAAACAAGTTCTGCGAAGATAACAAAGTTGGTAACTTCAAACATCTTTAAAAGATGTTCATAGATGTTCACATCACTTGAATCTTTGGTATGTCCCAGTGAACAGAAGTGGTTCTCCCAGACCACCGACGTCCAAGACGGACGTTCTGCCCCGATCACACTCCAATGACCTGGTGGGCGGGCCTCGCAGTTGTTGGTGTATTCCGGGCCCAAAGAAACGAAGCATAAAGATTGGAAGCATTCCCCATCCAAAAAAACTAGAAACATATCCCTCTACCAACTGAAGCCTGGATTGAAATGGATTAAATGACGGTTGAACGCTTCCTAGGCGGCCATACATGCAAAAGCTCTGTGTGATTGACAGCACCACTATGGTGTCTTCGGAGTATTACATGGTCATATTATACAGTGCTATGGGCTATGTACTATTAAAAAAAAAAAAAATTATAGTACGTATCATATAAATATCACCTAGATATACTACATATAATATACACAATACATAGATAATACGTATTCTATTTGCATAAGACTTAAGACAATTACAAACTTCAACAAGCCTTTTTGAGGCCTTGTTCAAGTGAAGAGATCACGTCTCTGGTCGTACAGACTGGCTCGTGCGTTTGCGCAAGCGGCCTGGAACTGAGGTGTGAAATGCTTCTGAGACTTTGCGACCTGGGCTGTCGCCGTTACCTTTGCCGCCGCGCCCAGCAAAGCGCCGACCCGTGGGATGCACCAGGATACGAGGATGGATGTCCCTGTGGACCTCGTGGGAAGGACGACGGTGAATGACAAGTCGTGGGAATGACGCTCATTTCACAAGTGAATTCTCATTTCACCTATGGCAGGTTTGATGATTGCACCGCAACAGTCTATGTCGGTAAGTTTGGCTATGATCAGGTTTGGCTGTGGCCGGGTCAGCGCAGGGTTGATCTTCCACTTCCAGGTGAGGTTTTTCCTCAGATCCTTCACAGTGGTTGATGGACTCTTGGGGCGCTTCCAGAACCCCAACATCCACGCAACCCTAACAATCCTCAATAGCCCAAATATGTCCGGTCCTCCCACAATGACATGGCATTCTTTGGTTCAACCTGCTTCAAGAAGTTAAAGCGTTCAACTCTGCAGGCTGTGGGCTGTGCGGAACAGACGAGCCTCTTTGGCACCCGGTTTGTGTTTTTAGCATGGTTTTCTTAATACAAAAATCGGCGAGACGTGCTCGTCTCAAGTCAAACAAACATCAATGCGGCTTGCCCTCCTTCCTTGCGAATGGTTGCTTGCCAGAGACTATATATGGATGGACCCAATATGACCCAATGGCCCAATGTACATCAGCGGTCGGCCAGGGCTTGGAGTTAAGTAGATCATGGAATGTCATGGAACCTCATGTAATCTTAGTTTTTAATTTTTGTAGCGCAATCTTCCAGAAACCCATGATGGATTTGACATGTCCCCATGTTTGGCTTCGAGGTAGATACGCTTGGATGCCATTGGATGCGGCAGCACGGAGCCTCAGTATAGTCTGCAACGGCAATCCACCAGCAGTGGACACTGCCACAATACCGCATTGAGCAGGAGGTGTGTGTGATTCGGGTCAAACATGTTCATGTACGTAGTCGTAGAGTAATGTAGAGCCCTTCCCAACAGTTGCAAAGCCTCATGCCTTCAGTTTTCCCTACAGATGATGGTCACGTGATCGTTTTTCCTTCGCGGCTGTGTAGGGAAAAGCAGAAACGACGAGAAATGGTTTCAACCCTCGAGATGAAATGCGTGCAGCTCCAAGAGTCACGGTTCGATCCTAGCAGCTCGAAAGGTTCCCTGCGCGAATGATATCTCCATATCGAATTTTCCTGCCCAGGAAAAGTGGAGAAGCTGCAAAAATATCACCTTTTTGTGGGATTGGTTTTGCCAACAAAAACTGAGAGGGTCAGATATGTTGTGCTTTCTGATGCGTTCTGCAATGAAAACAAGGCTCCTTTGTTGTGTAATGACATCTTCAAGCTCAACGTTTCTCGAGTTCCAAGCAATGTTCCGACCAAACATCGTTTCCTTTTGGCCACAAGAACGGATTGACAGGTGGTGCTAACGGGTTTGATGGATCTGAGCTTGCCCTTCTTCCTGGATGCTGAAGTGGAACGGATGTCAGCCTGGATGCCGAGCAAGCTAAGCAGCCGGATGTCAGCTTCGGGAGTGGAGATGAGAAGGATTCTATGATGGAGCTTGGAAAGTGGGTGAAGATTCTGTGAAGATTCGGTGAAGATGTTGAAGATGTTGATGCACTGGGAGCCAGGTCTTTTGTTGGTTTGATGGGCGGATTCACCTGAACAAAATATCCACAAACAAGAAATCTTCTTCCCTTACAGTCATTGGTTGCCAAAGGCTTTAGCCAGTGTTTGAAGACCTGGGACATGTTCTTCCCCGACATTCACAAAGTTGCTATCCAGGTGTTTTTTTATGACCTGGGACATGTTCTTCACTTTTGCTTTGGTCTTCATTTCTCGGACTCCAGGAAGACACTCGGACTCTTCACCGACTTCACAATCCCTGCCGAACCGTCCGGTTTGGTCCGGTTTTGGTTCACCTGATGGTCTCAGACCGTGAGACAAAGACCACTTCATACCCAGACACGACCTATGGGACTGCCATCGGTTTGGATGTTTGGGTCGTTTGGGCGTCTTCTTTCAGGGTGAAGCGCAACACCCACCGTGACGCGCCGTTCTACGGCACTGGCGTGGAGACAATTGGTGTTTGCACCCCTGCAACCGTGTCTTATGAAGACAATAGAAGACCAGCTATTGAGCAACTATATATAGGTATAAGAACTCCAAAGATGAGGCACTGCCTCACAGCTGTTGCATCGTGTCACAGCGAGGCATCGTGGTGGTCTCCACTGGACTTGTTTGATCGGTCGGCGCGGCCGTGGATCGATGGGCGAATCGAGGTCTTACCCTTCCTGCGGCTGCTCCGGGTGCTGCGTTTGTTGAAGCTCTTCCAGGTATGTCCGAGACTTAGGAGGAGACCGGAGACTTCAAGTGTTTCAGTCAGAGTGCCAGCCTCAAAGGTCCATGTTAGCACCATGATCAGACCGTAGAGTCAGATAGTAGTTGCGGATAGGTGTGGTATGTTGTTGCGGATCAGGTGATTGTGTATTTGAAATGGTTCATGGGTGAACCCCCTGGTATGCCGTGGTGCCGTAGTGCCGGACATCCAAGGATAGTAGTCCGAGAGTAGGCATACCTCCAAACTATATTGCTTCTCCGTGCATCATTTCACCAGAGGTGCCTTTCGTCGCCAGCTCGACGCAAGCTTCATCGCAGTTCAACGTCCAGTTTCGGCCCGGTTTCTGCCCACGAGAAAAGGATGATTGATCCTTTACTCCCACCATTAAGAATATTCCCAAGAGAAGGATATTCAATGCTCCCACCATCTGAAGGTTGGGAGTTATCAATATTCTTATGTTTGACCTCTACGGATATGATGAGTGGTCGATGAATTGCTCCTATAATTAATGACGAAGTGCCGTTTCAGGTGTGTCCATTAACCAGCCCCCGCACACCATCCAAGGCCAATAGCAAAACCTTAACCTAGAGGAGAGGTGTCTTGCTCCTACTCACCCATCACAAGCCATCTGCTCCACCACTCCGCCTAGCTCCAAAGCTCGAGCTCCACGGACGGTCCCACCCTCTCACAACGGCGCTGCGCGTGTCCCACGCCGGCGCGCGACGCCAACGCCACGGCCGCCGCGGCGGCGGTCAGGTCATCCCTTGCGGATCATCGGCCGTGGCGTGCTAAAGGCCTTCTCCGTGGTGATCCTCGTGGGCCTCGCGCCTTGGAACGAGACCGACGCCGCGGAACGGCGGGTGGTTCAGATCCGTTCGGATCACTTGAAAAATTCCAGGGACGGCTCCATGATACTTATTCTAGAAAGGATGGCATCCCCTTCCTTTTGGGTCGAAACGTCGTGTCAATCTGTTTGTTTGGCGCTGTTTGAGCGTCCCTTGTTTGATAACCAACCACATCCGTCAGTCAAGGAATTGGGTGTCTCAGGTAGTGCTCGTCCTCAACTTTGGCCTGGCGATCATTCTCACCACTCTTATCGGGCAGAGGCTGGCGACGGGCTGCATAGGACGTGACTTAGCGGCCTGCCTTGGAGGACACCCTACAGGGCCCTGGCCATCATCATGCTGAACAAGAACATACAGTAATTGGTCTAGTCGTGTCCTCCAGGACATGGAAGCAAGCCCAACGAATTGCACGTGCCACTTAAGAAAACCTTTTTGTGTGTCCTGCTGCGTAGGCTTTTCCAAACCTTGGGAACCTGTTGGTTGTAGCATCTTGTAACTAAGAACATGTATGTATGCATGGATGGGTGGATGGATGGATGGATGCATCCATGCATGCATGTATGATATGTATTAATGTATAATGTAATGTGATGGTGTGTTATAAAATTTTATGTTATGTTATGCAACGCAATAATGTATTGTGTGTCTCGTATGTTTTGCATGTAATGTGTGTAATGTAATGTAATTGTATGTATGTTATGTTATGTACTGTAATGCAATGTATAATGCACTGCAATGTAATGTAGTGTAGTGTAATGCATGCATGCATGTATGTATACATAGACACATACATACGGTTACGTATGTTTTGTATACAGTATACATATTTATATTCATACCCTACAAGTCACAATACCCAGTGAATTCTGGTGTTTAATCTTGAGTAGCTTTTGTGTGTGTGTGTGTGTCCAACTCCAGTATTTTATGAGGTTCACCTGACAGATAGGTTATACAATACAAAACATGTGCATAGATACAATGGCCATGACCCTCCGCAGGTCAGCGCTGGCGGAGACCAACAGCGCCAGCCAGGTGAACTACCACGGTCAGCTGGTGCTGTGGTTCGGTTCCATTGGGCGGTCGATGCAAACCTTGTTCACCATCCAAACCTTGGCCGGCTGGGACCCTCGACAGCAGCGAAGCGCGAAGCTGGGTGGGATGGTGCATCGGTGCATCCCATGTGCCGCCCACAGAAAAGGGGGGATGCGTTTGGTTGCGGTAGGGCCGATGCATGGTGTTTGGGTGGCGCGTTTGTCTGGGGTGAAGGTGGACCAAAGGTCTGCAAAAGGTGATTGATTGATGGACCATAATCTTGACTCTTGATTAGTGTAACCCCCCTCCCACCTAGTCAACATAATGTTTGGTCTCGGTGTATGGGTGTGTTCATGTTGTGAAGTAGTAGGGTCAGTTGGGTCACAGTTAGATCATCTCAGGGTTTCACCCTGAGACATCTTAGAGGTAGTCCAGAGATGGAGCATTTGGAGGCGACGCCCGGCCCTAGGGGATCCGGTCGTAGCTTCTCCTCAGGTTCGGGATCCGGACACTGGCACCGGCAAATAGCAATGTCTGTGTCTCCGGTCGTACCGAACCTCCGGATCACCGTGGATCCCGAAGGTGACCATGGAATCACCGGTCTCAGACCCTTCGGGAGGTTCACCGCCGAACCGGAGGTTGGTGGCCGACCGTGCCGGATTCACCGGTGCATCACCGGAGGTTAGGCGGTTTAGCACTGGACCGGCTGAGGCTGGAATGATTGGATGTCCACTGCGAAGATTCGGAAGCTAGTGGTCCGGTGGTTCCAAACTTGCTCATCACGATCCTACTGTCTTAGACAGAAACCACAGAAGGTAGGACCCAAACTTACCCAACTGACTCATTTTCGGCCACGTTCCGGATGGAGACACAAAAAAGAGCCAAGGAACACATTGCGACGGTCTTGGGGAACATCTACCCCAGTGGCATTGTGGTGCCAATGATCGTGTTGTACATGATGATTTGTTGCTACTTGGCTTTCCATCGGCGCCGATGGCATTTTGCTTCGGTCTTGTGGGTGGGTTTGCTCTCTTTGAGGCAAAAAGTGCATTGCAGGAACAATCTCATCAAATCAAAGAATCATACACAAACGGGATACATCATACAATACATTACAATACACTATACACCAAATCCAGATGCAGTCAAAATAATCATACACTATACACCAAGAGTCTGACAAAGCATGATGGTTGTTGGGATCCCCACCAATGGCACGTGCGCCACCCCCGAAAGAACCCGAAAGCATCCGTTTTGCATCCGGTTTGCACCATTGATCACGACTGATCGTAAGCACAAGAGCTTCATTTACTTGTTGTACAGAGCTTCAAGTGGTTGCAGGTCACCAACCCCCACTGGCCGCCACTGAAACGCGCTGGTGGCGCTCCTCAGAACACAATTCCCTAGAAAACATGGCCTGGGACTTGAGAAAGATGCCAACATGGGCAGGTGGAGAGTGATTTTATCCAATAGTAATCCCATCTTTAAATCTCCCTGATAACTTGTTGTTGCTTGGTATAGGGCATTTTTGGGGCATACAGGAGATCCTGGTGACATCCCTCCCCAAACCTTTGTTTTCGCCTGTCTCTCCAAACCGTTTGGGGCTGCTTGGGGAACGACCGTCCAGAGCGGCCTCCTCCGCGCCGGCCGATACCAGGCTTCGCGGTGGTGGGGCTCATCACCAGCGTGATCAGTGACTCCTTTGTGACAGCCCAACAGCGCGACCAGAAAGCCCGCGAGGCCGCCAAGGACATGAAGCGAGGCGCCGGAACGGCCGGTGAAGAGGGAGGCATGGCTGGAGCGGACTTTCTTTTCGCAGGTGAAGGAGGCTTTGGGTTTGATAGGTGGGAGGGACCATCTTGTTGATGCAGTTTGTTGGAGGATGTGGTTATGGGTTTGATATGGTTTTACTTTCCCCCCTACAACCAAAATCTATCTATATAATGCTTATTTTTATGCAATTGGTGGGGCGGGGCAGGGTCCAAGTTGTGGGTTTGGTGGTGCGGGATGAGGCTTCTTTTCAGGATCCTGCGGATGACACCCAGGCAATGTCGAGAAGAATGTTTGTGGTACAAAATACAGCGGTTTCAGAGTAGATGGCACAAACCCGAACGTGTCTTTTCGATGGGGGTCAATATAAACCACCTTTTGAGGTTGTGCCATCTACTCTGAACCCACCGTAATTTATATAAATATGACTCTGTTATACATCCAGATAGAGGGAAAGGGAGATGGATATGACTGATGAGGATTAGGAGCTTGCGGGGTGGCTGGCTAGTGGCTGGTTTTGTACGCCAGTGCACCCCAAGGACCATTGAATATATGACCAAAACCAAGAACTTCAAGTGGTGATGGTAGATCTTTGTCGCAAAGAACACATTTCCTCCCATGCAGGGGTGTAGACAGCTCAGTGTTTGGTCTGCAAGAAGATCGATTCGTTTTCCCAATGTTTTGTCATCCCTTCCCTTCGGTGAGGGTATCGAAGCGAATGTATCGGACTCCGCCGATCATTTTCTCCTCTTTTTGTGTTGTGTTTTTTGTCCGCTTCTTCCAGGCACTTCGACCTGGAAATTGGGAGAAGAAGAGGTTCTAAAACATATATTTACCATGGCAATAAAGATGACCATTTCGTTGTTGTTGTTTTTTAAAATCCGCCAATACCAACAGAGGTTGAAGAACCCTAGTTCGACTATCCCATAGGTCACTTAACCTCTCTTGGTAATGGGGTGGGATCTTGGCTCATCTCAGTTCTGCCGAGGCGCAGAGCCGGGTGACCCCGCGTCGGGTGACCCCTTCGTGCGCCCCGCCAGGGACGGCTTCGATGGAATTGGGCCGGCATTTTATTGATTACGGGAGGCGCAGCTGCGACGTTGGAGGGGGGGTGAAGTTTGATTCCAAAGGTTCCATGGTATGGATACATGGACCATATGGTAATGAACTATACAATATACAATCTAAAATGATCTATGCCGCCCCAGAAAGATCCCTGAACTGCCCTATATGACCCTATAATCGTATCGTCTATCTATTCCGTCGTCCCAGACAGCTCACCGATCGCCCAGACGGCTCCGTTGGACGCTTCGTTCGGTTGATCGTCGGTTCGAAGAAGCGAACGTGCAATTCGGGCGGTGCAAACGGTTCCAACAAGCCGAGCACCAAAAAGAAGGAAGACCAGGGGTGTTGCGGCGTTGCGTTAGCAATGACCAATGACAATGACAAGGGGTGTTGTTGAGTTCAAAAAAAGGGTCAGGACAAGGTATGGTTTTGGTACTGTTTGGAGAAAAACGACCGGAGGCTTCCACATGCAAGTGACTTGGCTAGGGGAGTCTCTTGTCAGAACCATTTAACGGAAGGAGCGTAGCATTCCGTACTTGGACCTTCTGGTTTTTACGTCCGACCTTTTTCACTGGCCATGGCAATTGGCATGGTGAACGTAGGCGTACGGATGCGGCTCCTAAAACAGTGCAAGATGGTTCGGGTACGAATGTGTATCAAAAGTGCTTATGTGTCTTTGATGTTTGTTCCTGATGCTGTCTAGATCTGAGTCTTTCAAAGAGATCGATAAATCCGGTCCATTTCCCATTGATTCTCAGTTTTTGTTGTTTGGATTGGTTCTCTGCCTGAACCTACTGATTTGGCAAAAGCCTTCCAAGTCCGAAGTACCTAGACCCTCCCAGTGCCTCAGAAAATGGCTACAAGTACCTGCTTTTATATATAGAGTATTGTAGAGTCATGTCCCATTTTCTAGAGTACTTGGGAGGGTCCAGGTAGAGTGGGCTTCGAACAACATGAGTTGTGCGACGGTTGAGTTGCGGAGAGAGAGTGGCAAAGCTTTCCACGGAGGTATGGGAATGTATGGGTACCTAGTGCCTGGTCCCCTTAGGAGGAACGCAAAAGAAGTTTGCATCAATGTTGCTTCAACTTGGCTTATTATTTCAAAAATTGTGCGCCACATTACCTACATTACCACCGGTATGGAGCAGGAACCCAACCTTCCGGGGTCGTCCAGTTCCCCAAAACGGACGATCTGAGTTCAGCAGTCGTCCCGCATGCGCTGCAGGACCATTCCGGGATTCATCAATCGAAAGGAGTTGGAAGCAGCGCTTCAAGAACCCTTCGTTCGAAAGCCCAAGACACACAGACACTCCATGGGACTGGCATATCATATTTACATACATGTTACATACATTGACCCCAAGTCCACCACCCCCGGCCCTTGGCTCTAGTTTCATGGATTGGGGGCCCCGATGGACAGGGCACAGGCGGTGGACGAGCTTCGTGACTCCAGTCCCAGAGTCTGGACTGGATGAATGGCTGATCAGGTGGGGGTCAATGTAGGTACCATTGGTTACGTGGAGTTCACCACCTATTTGTGGATGGTCTTCCGAACTCCGGGGCCATCCATGAAATCCACGGGTCCCATGTTAGTCTTCCAGGGTGTAAGTATTCCATACCTGTGGTTTCAAGGGGTGCTTAAACTCACTGGTTGGGACTCAACATCACTCCCTTTGTGACTTTTGGTACATGGATGATTTGGGACATGGGTTGAAGAGATTTGCGCACGATGTGTTTTTGAGCGCTCCGGTGTGTTTGAACGGTTTGCACAGAAGGTCAGCAGAGATGTTCAGGTGTGTTTGGTTGGAATGTGCTAAGCTGTGGAGCGGTGCATAGCCCCTGTTCCGGATGGTCTTGGGGGGTCCCAGAGTGTGGGTCCTTGATCTCACAGCCAAGGTCTCGCAGGTGTTGAACAGCATGGAGGTGCCAGCCAATAAAGTGGACATTCTGAAGCTCTTTGACAAGTTCAACAAGGAGCAGCACTGCTTGAGCACTCACAATCTACGTAGGGTTTGGGCAGTTCATGTATTGAGTTGATGTTTTTGAATGTTTATATATAAAGGATCGGGAGACTGAACTGAGGCATTTGGTCATCCAATAGTCTTTGCTGGAGCAAAAATGTAAAGGTCTCAAAAAGGCAAGTTCGAAGTGTTTCACTACACAGGCCCACCTAAATGCAAATCTCCATCTCTTGAGATTGGGTCTGAGGAGTGGACGGCACCGCCCCCCTCCACCTGAATTCCATTGAATTACCTGGAATACTCTGATCCTCCCCAGATTGGAAGCCGAAATGGAGCAGGACGTTGTATCTTGTAGGCCAGCCCATTCTGTAGGTGTTTGGTTTGATGCAACCATTTTAAAACCAACCCTTCATCCTACACTTCATAAAACCAATGTGTTTGATTTTTTGTACCTACACTTCATCCTACTGGAGTGTCTTTTGGAAGGACTCCTTTTTGTCGAGGCATATCCAGACAAATCATGCTCTAGTCTACTGTAAATAGGGGACCAAGGATCTAACAAGACGTTATTGGGACTGAAAAAACAGCAGGTGTTATATACACACCTGTTTAATCATGTTTATATTCTTGCGTCCATGCAGTCCATAACATACAAGTAAGTGTAAACTCTGCTAAGGTTGGTGATTGCTAGAGAGTATAGTCTGGGTTTCCCCGCGGCAGCCGGATCTCTCAATTCAACCAACGTGGATGATTAGAGCTTTCCACTTTTCCCACATGAGCTCATTGCTTCTAGGTTGATCTAGGTTGGAGGCCATCACTAGTAGGTTGGAGGCCATTGCTTGCCATTTCTTCACTCTTTGTGAGGAGGCCTCTTTTGCCAATCGCGTTCAGGAGGGGGTCGTTCAGGTGTTGACGTCGACAGGTGAAAAGAGTCATGTGCAACAATGGATAGGGTTGGCTCCAGGCCCAAGGGCCCTTAGAGTGGATGGACTGATGCACATGTAGAATGACATGCTGTAGGTGTCGCCGTAAGTGTTTTCATCACCGAGATGGTTCCCACTTGGGTGAAACTCACCTGGCGCTTTGTCCTGTTCTTGAAGTTTTGAATGGAGAGCCTTGCTGATCGTCCTGAACTGATAGAGCAATGTTCGAGTCTGGTTTCGTATTTTTTCCGCCAGTTAGTTGTGCTACGTACTGAAAAGACCTGCACGCGGAATTTGAGAAATTGCATGAAATTGCACACAGGATGTTGTATCATGTTGTATCATATTGTATCATCGTGTATCCTGGCAAAGCCAGAAGATCTTAGACTTAGACGTTGTTCTTTTTCCTGAACCTCTTTCCTGAACCGACGGAATGCTTGACGTCTAGGTGACGTGCTTGACTTGTGCTTGACCGATGTGATGGGGCGTTGACCGAAAGGACGAGGAACATGGCACACCCGACTCAGAGAGATGTGACGTTACGTCAGAAAATAGTGACTTGGTTGTTGACCGAAAGGGTCCATGTTCAAACTTCTCAGCATCGAGATTTATTGGAGATGAAAAGGATCAAACTGGTCTCAAGCCTCAAAACCTGAGGTCAGTCAATTCATTGCATGATGCCTCCCATATCTTGGTCATGTTGGCTTGCGTAGGCGGAGCACATGGCCGAAGCTGTCACCAGCCTGGGGGGAGGATGGCGCGTGTCTCTTGGCTTCAAACTTACAGTACCTGGACCCGACGTTGTTCGTACATTAGAAAATAGAACATAACCCCAACAAAATACAGGTACGACTGTACCCATTTTACAAGGTACGAACGGGTCGACTCCAGGTACTTTGGGTTGGGGTGAGGGTCTGGCCCACACCTTTATGAATGAACGTGATGACCTAATTAATTGGGCCCTGTGTGGTGTGGGCCGGGATAGCGGGTTATGGCAGCCAGTTGCCAGTTTATGCATGTTTCATAATGGGTACTCTGACTACCAGACTCCTTGCCGCAAGTAGCCCAATGGTTGGGACTCAGTTTGGCTTATTTAAAAAAGAACTTCCAAAGATCGAAATCAACTTCCTGACACCAGGATGTCATCTGACTGATGTATGTCCGGCGCCTCGTCGCCCAGGTCTGGCTTCTTTGATGTGCTCATTCCTCAGATGGGTGGGACGAACTGAGGTACCTCTGACTCACTAACGTGGAAGTGTAAAATGGTCCCTTGGAAGCAGTCTTACAACTGTCGGTAAACGACAGTGCGATAGTCACATCCCCTCTGTGGTTCATTGAGCTTGCGAATGCGCTCCACTTCTTGAGGCATGGATTTGTCGCTCGGAACATTACATCTGTCCCTTCATGCATGACGTTAACACTGCTCACTGAGGAGGAAGTGCTGGAATGCATGCCTAGTGTTGAGGTGGGAACAGTTGCTCATGGGGTGACCTTGAAAGGCGCAAAGGCAGGAAGCAGGTACATGACAAGAAACGGGGAAGTGGAGTACACAGAGCCGATCTCGTTTATCCAATCCAGCGGTACGCGCCCAGCCATGGTTGAAGGAAAGGTCTTACCAGAGCGTGCCTCAATGGTTGCATGTCACGGCATGGTGAAGTTTGGATCTTGTATTGGCTCCTGGAGTTCAGAGAACGACATGGCAGTTCCGATTCCGTCAGGGTCGACAGGAAACTTGCCAACGATGAATGAGCCTCCTTCGATCGTGAAGAAGGCTCTTCACTGCATTTCAACGGAGCGAACTTTGTCGCATATGTCTCCCCTAGCTCAGACTACAAGATCCTTTGGGCTCTACAAAATCTGTGCCTATGCGAAGACGATTCGGACATCAGCGGTTCGACCGATGCCAAAGGGTGCTGTCATCACCCGCCCGGTTACCCTCATCGCCGAAGCAGCACAAGTCGCGAAAGACGAAAGTAATGTGAGCCAGAAAAAACAAGATGGAGCCCACGAACCCGAATGCAAACACGTTCGAAAAGCTGCATATGTCCAAAAGACACTCTTGTAGGACACTCTTGTGGGACACTCTTGTGGGTCACTCTTGTAGGACACTCTTGTGGGACACTCTTGTGGGACTCTCTTGTGGGACACTCTTGTGGGACACTCTTGCAGGACACTCTTGTGGGACACTCTTGTGGGACACTCTTGTGGGAGACTCTTGTGGGACACTCTTGTGGGACACTGTTGCGGGACACTCTTGTGGGACACTCCTGTGGGACACTCATTTGGGACACTCTTGCGGGACACTCTTGTGGGACACTCTTGTGGGACATGCCACTCTTGTGAGACACTCTTGCGGGACACTGTTGCGGGAGACTCTTGTGGGACACTCCTGCGGGACACTCATTTGGGACACTCTTGCGGGACACTCTTGTGGGACACTCTTGTAGGACACTCTTGTAGGACACTCTTGTGGGACAGTCTTATAGGACACTCTTGTAGGAATCTCTTGTGGGATACTCTTGTAGGACACTCTTGTGGGACACTCTTACGGGACACTCTTGTTGCACACTCTTGTAGGACACTCTTGTGGGTCGCTCTTATGGGAATTGTTGTCGGACACTCTTGTGGGACACACTTGTGGGACGCTCTTGTGGGACACTCTTGTGGGACACTCATACGGGACACTCTTGCGGGACACTCTTGTAGGAGGACACTCTTGTGGGACATGCGGGACACTCTTGTGGGACTCTCTTGTGGGACACTGTTGCGGGACACTCTTGTGGGACACTCATACGGGACACTCGTGGGACACTCTTGTCGGACACTCTTGTGGGACACTCTTGTAGGAAACTCTTGTGCATTCGGGCTCCTAACTCTCTCAATAGTATTCCAGCTGCGCATTGTGGGACACTCTTGTGGGACACTGTTGTAGGAGACTCTTGTGGGACACTCTTGTGGGACACTCTTGTGGGACACTCTTGTAGGAAACTCTTGTGGGATACTCTTGTAGGACACTCTTGTGGGACACTCTTGTAGGACACTCTTGTGGGACACTCCTGTAGGGCACACTCTTCGTACGAGACTTCCTCCAAAAGTCACGCTGCGAGGCTGCAAGACGAGCGTTTCGTACGAGACTTCCTCCAAAAGTCACGCGTCAAGTCTCAAAAACGAGCGTTTCGTACGAGACTTCCTCCAAAAGTCACACGTCAAGTCTCCAAAACGAGCGTTTCGTACGAGACTTCCTCCAAAAGTCACATGATGTCAAGTCCCCAAAACGAGCGTTACGAGACTTCCTCAAAAACTCACATGTCAAGTCCGCAAAACGAACGTTTCGCACGAGACTTCCTCCAAAAGTCCAGCGGAAACACCCATCGGAGCACACACATCACGCAGCCCTGTCAAGCAGTTTCGCGACTCCAGCCCCTCCAAACGACGCGCCAATCCCAATGTGACAGCGACATTCCACAACTCACAACCTCCCGATTCCCTGCGCCTGCCACGAATCTTTCCGCCGTCCACACGTCTAACGCGCGCAAAGTACTGCGCCTGCCACGAAATGTCACCTCCGTCACACCTCGCAACCTCACGATTCCCTGCGCCTGCCACGAGAATCGCACTTCCACACCTCAGAAGCCGCACAAAGTCCTGCGCCTGCCACGAAAAGTGACAATATCATCTCATGTGAGCTTCAACAAAATTTGCACCACACCACACGTTTGGAATGATTTCGACCCGTTCTGAGCACACTCCCATCCACCAAAATCGGCATTTCAGCTGAGACTTGTCACGAAAACAGAGCTTCGATGCCACACCCTGAAACGCAAATCCCAATGGCACGGCCACATCCAACACCCCAAAAACACGACTCTCCAAACGCGAATCCCAATGGAACTGCGCAGCAATCTGCAGATCTCACAAAACGCTGCGCCTGTGCACCGAAATGCATCACGTTTCTTGCGCGACATGTCTTTTGCACGCAAATCACAATGGACTAGCGTCGCAAACTCATACGTGACACGTCCATGCATAGTCACCTGCAAAAGCTTCCCCCAATGGCAGCGCCTTAGCGCTCTACCGCGGACGGTTGCGAACGGTTGCGAACGGTTGCGGACGGTTGCGGACGGTTGCGGACTGTTGCGAACATAGAAGCAACGGGTCGCGAACAAAGCTCTACCCCCAGACCCCCAAGAGTTAAACGAGAACCTTCGCTACGCATTCGGGAAAAGGTGGATTGATGTAAAGTAGTATTGTGGGATCCTTCGTTCAGAATTCCACGCACCGCCGCAGCTATTTCTGATGTTTTCTGTCTTTGTGGAATGTGTTATTTAGTTGGGGAACGACCCTCCAGACGACGTCCAAAACGACATTGGAACGACCTCCTTAACTACGTACATCATGTATTTGCTGCTGCTGCTCTTGCTCCTCTTGCTCCTCCTGCTCCTGCTGTTGCCCCTGCTCCTCCTGCTGCTCCTGCTCCTTCTGCTGCTCCTGCTCCTCCTGCTCCTCCTGCTGCTCCTGCTGCTGCTGGTGCTGCTGGTGGTGCTGCTCCTGCTGCTGCTGCTACTGCTCCTTCTCCTGCTGCTCCTGCTGCTGCCGCTGCTGCTGCTGCTCACTTCCTTTCGATGGACAGTATTTAGAACGACGACATCCGCATTTCAGTCAGAATGACCACTACTACTGACTACTTCTACTTCTACTACTACTACTACTCCTCCTCCTGCTGCTGCTGCTGCGACTGCGACTGCGACTGCGACTACTACTACTACTACTACTACTACTCCTACTCCTACTACTACTACTACTACTACGACTACGACTACGACTACTACTACTACTACTACTACTACTACTCCTACTCCTACTCCTACTCCTGCTCCTGCTCCTGCTCCTGCTCCTGCTGCTGCTCCTGCTGCTGCTGCTGCCGCTTACTTTCGATGGACAGTATTTAGCCAGATTTCTCGGCGAAAAAAACGACCTCTGAACGACCTATGAACGACCTCTGAACGACGTCCGCATTTCAGTCAGAATGACCACTACTACTGCATGACTACTTCTACTACCACCACCACCACCACCACTACTGCTACTGCTACTGCTGCTGCTGCCACTGCTACTACTACTACTACTACTGCTGCTGCTGCTGCTGCTGCTGCTACTACAACTAGTACCACTACTACTACTACCACTACTACTACTACCACTACTACTACTACTACTACTACCACTACCACTACGACTACTACTACTACTTTTACTTTTACTACTACTACTACTACTTCTACTACTACTACTACTACTACTACTACTACGCCTACTCCTACTCCTACTCCTACTTCTGCTACTGCTACTACTACTACTACTACTACTACCTGCTACCTTTTACCTACTACCTACTACCTTTTACCTACTACCTACTACCTACTCCCCCCCCCCTACTACTACTACTCCTCCTCGTCCTCCTCCTCCTACTCCTACCCCTACTCCTTTGTACTCCTACTCCGACTGCTGCTGCTGCTACTGCTGTGTTTTTTGTTTTTGGTACTACTGCTACTACTACTACTACTACTACTACTGCTACTACTACTACTACTGCTACTACCATGGTTGCCGCCATCACCACATATGAAGACCGCCGCTTGTAAATCATACGTTTTGCTGTTGGGATCATGATTTTCGTACCCGGTTTTTTTTCTACCTCATGTGAAGTTGGCATTTACTGGCGGAAGTCTCGCGGGCGACATAAGCATCAGAAAGAGGATGCTCGTTGCGAAGAGGAGGACTGTTGGCCCTTCCTATCAAGATCCGCTCACACCCCTTGACTTGAAGGCCTCGGATCTCACTGCGATGAAGCCCTGGCCCAAAGTCACTGGGCTTACGGGCCCTCGCGCGCCCCGCGGGTCGGCTGTTGCTCGGCAACGAGCAAGGTTAACCGTCCACAGAGGTCGTAGACCAGCGCCATGGAAGGTGGTTCCAAGAGAAGATCGATGGCTTCTATGTCTATGGTCGAGTTTGACGAGTTGGCTTCGTGTCTCGTTCCTTCTCTTCGAGAATGGTGGATTGCGATGTCTTCTATTGGTGCTCCGTTGGAAGACTCCGATTCTTGGGTCCTATTTGGTGAGGTTAATTCCTTTGATGAGAACTCCCTCTTTGCATCCAGACTTTCTTGTTCATTGGGTGATCCTTCTGATTCCCATTTGG